CTCCCTGGAGGCATATGACACAATTTTTCGGTCATATGTTCCCCCAACCTCCACCACCTCCTTGTTGCTAAGGCACAATTTCCATCCTTTCACTGATTTTGTATATCCACTTATTCTATTCTTTGTTGCCGGGTCCGGAGCCTACCCCAGCATGCACTGGACAAGTGGCTGGGTCCACCCAGGACAGGTCACAAGTCAATCACAAGATGTAAAACACAACTGCTCAATCTCAGTTTTTATGGTATTTCATAGCTCCAGCAGATGCACGCTCAATCCATTTCTTGCCACTTAAAGGAGAGACATGCATGTGATGGGAATAGCAAGTGGGCTCATTTGTGCCTGTCATCTCTCAAGCAGCCAACAACAATAAGCCATTTTCCTAAAACATGACTAATACCAATCAAGTCATTTGACATAAAGCTGCAAATCATGCTGGCCAATCCTACTCAAAATAGCTGAATAACAGCAAATGGTTAAGGAGCCAGAGGGTGAAAAAACAAAACAGAGCTTCCACTTCACACTTGGCTTTCTGTGCTACTTAGAAACCACTGCCATCAACAGTAGTCAGAAGCATAAGACACATACGAATAAGAAAATTGAAAAAAAAAAAAAAAAAGAGTGCCATGGTGATGTATAGATAGCTTCAATATCAGCAATAGTTCATCTTCATCTATCAAATTTGAGTGGAATAAATATTTTATGATGAATCGTTCACTTACACCGCCATTGTTTTCTTTCACAATATTCAGTCCCTACCAACTAGATCCCTAACATCGATAACAGGATTTCAGTAAAGTTCCTATTTTTCAGTATTCCCTGAATAAATAAAAAAAGATGATTTTGGTTATTGTTGGAACAAACTGCACTGTTTGAGGATACAGACAGCATACTTTATTCTGAAAATTAAATTTACTTTACATTTAAAATTAACTTTAGTTACTATGCACAAGAAGGAAAATACCACATAAGTAGCTTGCTTGGTGAAATGCACACCCATTACTCTAAACAAAATAAACTGGCCCTTCTTTAAAAAGTTTTGTCATTTGAATACTGCAGATGGAAAATATGTGACAGCTGTGCAACTCTGTAAAGTCAAGTAGCGGTGTACTGGATTTTTTCCTACAGCTTTAAAGTAAGAGTGTATCTTGTATCCATAAAGACTGGGAATGCTGGAAGACTAAGCTTGGGAAGTTGAGACGATACGTGTACAGCATGGAAACTGTTCTTAGTGACATGGAAATAAAATTGCAAAGCCGCTAGGATGACCCCATGGCACAAAATCTCTGCACTTTCCGTCTGTCTGAAGCAACATGTCTATTTTTATTTTTAACACACTGAAACAGAGGAGGAAAAATATCCCACAGGTTTTATGTTAAAAAGCTAGTTGCTTAGTTCATTCGCCCAGCTTGCAAAAGTAAACACATACTTTGCATTACATACATTTATGCATAAGAGCAGGCAATAATTCTGTCTCACCCAAGAGTCCTTTACCAGTATGCAGAAATGGATACTAAACTCCCTGATGATATTTAGGGGAAGCAGCTACATAGAAATTCTGGTTTGGGTGCTGCAGGAAAAAGGTGGGTGAGAAGTAGCAGACATACTGTAAATTGGGTGAAAAGAACATCTGGTTCCTGGTCAAGTATTCTCAGGAAGTGAATGCTGTCAGACATGGAAGATATTATAGAGAATGTTGAGCAATGATCAGCATGATCACAAAGCAGACTCTGTATTTAATGTGCTGGAGCGTGTTATATACTAATCCTTTTTACACTTCTATTAACAGAGAATTACTTTAATCTTGCAGGAGAATCATTACTGAGCAAATTAGTGCAACATAACTACTTTTAAAAAAAGGTAAAGAAATGCAAATTAGTATTAAGACTGTAATGATCTAATGTGTTTTTCTCCTTGTAATCAGGATCACTGTCTGCTGAACACAGCCTGGTCTGGATTAAATAAAAGGAAACATAACTGATAATGTGTCATTCAAATATAAAATATGTGTATGTGGATTTAAACAATGACAACCAAGCAAGCCTGGAAGAATACAGATTCCCTTAATAAATGTTTAATTCACACTGAAGTCAGACTGAGTGAATAAAACACAGTCTGTGGTGACGGGTCACACACAAAAGAACATGTTGCCTTGGTTGAACTAAGGCATGCACTGCTTGGGCCAGCTGTGTTGACAGGATGTGATGAATAACACTTCCTGTCTGGCTCTGAAGCTTTGGAGTGACCAGGAACACTTCATGTTTTCTTTCTTTGTCTGTTTATATAAACCCCTCTTAAATCACACAACAATAAAACAGCATCAAGGCACAGAATGAGACATGACCAGAGCAGACGGGAAAAGGGAAGGATGAGAGGAAAAATAAGCAAAAGGAGGATGACATGAAATGAAGAAATGATTGACTCAGCTCTATGTCATCATCCTTGCCGGGCACTTGGGATGACGTGTGATGATGTCAAAACATTGCCTTATTCCTTAACATAGCCCAAAGTGTAACAGGTCAAAATGATAAAATAACCTTTTAAAAAGATTACAAACTGCTGACTCATGAAACATGTATAGTCTCTTTATCAAGGTGGAGCTGATGGGATTTTGAGTGTTCCAACTTGCCACTTTCCTGTAAGAAATACCACAGCTCGGAGGTGGCTTATAATGTGTCAATGCTAAACCTAACAGGAGATAAGAGATTGGCTTGTAATCTCTCCAGCTGGGTTTATCTACATCTCCCTCACCAGTGAGAGCCCACCCACAGGCTGTCAACACAGCAGGAAGCAGCTGAATGCCGTGGTAGGGGTAAACACCAGCGGGGAATGCCCCCGCTGAAAACATCTCACACATGCCCAACTGATTCAATGCCATTGATCCGATACTAGGTCCTTCAGGATGTAACTAGAAATATATGTTGGTAATATGCTGTATGTATGGATTGTGGATGATAGTGTGGAATGATATTGTTGAAAATGATCAGTGGCAGTTAACATGTGTTTTATGAATATTTATAAATGTTTTCAAAGAGGCAACTAGACAGATTCTGTACTTCCTAGCACACAAATGACAACATGTACAGTCTGGGGCTGTACCCGAGTCAGAATTTTGTCAGTGCCACAATAAACTCCTATATCAGCAGTTCCTGCAGTGGAAACACAGCTACATGAGTCTAATGTTTTAGCCTACGTCACGTTTTAATGCATTTGCGTGTGTCCTGCTCATACTTGTGTTAAGAAAATCCAAGTGCACCACAAAGTGTCTCTCTGCTGGGCTGCCGAAGAGTCAATCACAGTGGATGCCAGTAGAAGAGGTTGTAGCGCCGTCCGGTTCAAAACAGGTTTAGCCGACTTCACTGACAGCCAGCAACGGGGCAGCCACTGCACTCTTGTTTGCTTCCATTGCAGTTAGTTTTGTGGTTTATGGTCATTTTGTAAAGTTTACAGCCTGCCATGCTGTCTCTCTCTGTGTACAATGACTCAGCTAAAGAATCGCAGAGATTCGACAGGCATAATGCGAGTCTTCTCAACTGATGACTCGAATCATCAAGTTTTCGGTGGCATCCCTAGTACAGTTGTTAATTATTTCTATTACAGCAAATTACGTGATCTGGTGCTAAGATGTCTGGCTTTCAAAGCTCACTTTCCAGCGAATACTGGAAAGAAAACTCCCCTTTCTCACTCAGTCACACTCACAGTGTATAAAAAGCCTTGTTCTTGAGCCAAGAACATCTGAAGCAAAGCGGTGCTACGGCTGAATGATGAAACCAAATTTATTTAATTACCAACATTGGAAATCTCTCTCTGATCTTAGTTTACTTTGTTTGGAATTTTTTCCAAACATAAATAGTCTGAATTATTTATATGTAACAGCTACAGAAGCCAATGACAAATGTTCAACCAACCATTCAGCCTAAATTCCAGTTAATAATCTGTAACTGGTCATACAGTAATTAATCCACACAAACACGCACACAAATAAAACCCAGACATGTCTCCTAGTACGCTTTATATTTATATTATAGCCATCTTTCTTGTCTCTAATGAAAAATTTATTATTTGTGTCAATACAGACCATACTAATTAATGATAAAGTGGGTTGGGGTCTGTTCTTGTGTTGGAGGAGACAAGTTCTTTAATGTTGTTGCTGTTCTTCCTGCTGATTGACAATAGTTCAAGACAGGGCACAGATGAATTAATATCCATGTTAATGTTATCAGTAAAGATCAGACAAACAATTTTGAGTGTGATACGAGCTGATGTATGAGCAAGACTGTTGGCAGCTTTTGTAGGTTTAAGTCAAACTAATTAAATTAGTAATGAAATAGTTTACATTTGTTTGGCTTGCATTGCATTTGCAGGCTCAGGAAAACCTTGGTGGGGCATTATAATGCTTTATTTCATTGCTCATGCTTCGACCATCCTAATCAATTAAAAGGAATTTAATCCAATTAGGGATGACAGTATGCTTCAGCTAAATCAACTACGGGCTCATTAAAAGCGGTTGCCTTTCTGGGTTTCCTGGAGTCCATGCTCCCTAAGCTCAGATGTGGCCAGGGCCCCAGATCCATTACCTTCGAAAGAGGAAGGGAAACTAGGATACTAATGAGATTCCCTCCCTGTGCAACACACACTGCAAGCGTGACGATCGAGAATGATTCAGACATTTCTGTGGTCATCAGTGCGGTCGTCGCGTTCATCACTGTCCTCTATTAACTTCATTGGGACATTTTCCGACTCCTCTCGCACAATATAATTACCAGTGTCATATGGGTGGAGCAGGGAGAGCTCGACTACAAGCACCATCCACAGGGGGAATGTGCTATGTGGAGAGAGTACTTCATGACCTATGCTAGTCTTCGCTTGTGGAAAGGTTATAACTTATCTCATTCCTTGCCCCCTACAACATGCAACTGCACACACAACTACAAAATAAAAAGACAATCACATACCAAGGCACACTAACACACAGTCACACACACAGCAACACACTTCCTCACCTGCAGGTCGAAGAACTTGCTGTAGCGTCTGTAAATGATTTCTGTACTGCCATCGCTCCAGGACACTTTGATGATGTAAACCTGGAAAAGCAAACAACAAGCATAACTGGAATCATTTAAACTTACAAACAGTCATTATTGTCAGCCACTTGATGATCCAAACCCCCTGGAGCATTACTCCTGACTCATAGTGCCACTAATTGGCAGCGCTGTGACTCCTATAGAGGGTAGCATGAGGAAAGACGGACAGCACGCTTGTCAGGCAACATCATGCAGCGGTCAGTGTCATCATCCGTTCACATGAACGCAATAGGGATATCCGATTATTTCATTTCCCAGTCCGTTTGCATCACTTCCTGCTGAGGAGGAAAGGGAGTCATTGTGATGTATGAATGCAGCAGATTTGACTGTGCTGTCTTTTCAAAACTGCAGCTCTTTGAAAGACATTTTTGGGGCAGGTAGTCGTGGAAACATAACATTGTAAATGTTGGGGGGCTACAAACATCATTACAATACAGAGATAAACAGTTACCTTTGTATCATTTGTGGCACTAAATTAAGTTAAAACTTTACGTCTTGTACATGGGCACCTGCATATTCCATCTGCCTCATATCAACATCATAAAATGTGTAACCAAAAGCATCTAACCTAATCACTGCAGTCTAGAGAGACAGTTCTTTATGTTGTTCTCTAAAGAAGAAGAAGAGAGGAGCGGCAGGGAGGTGATTGGAAACTCCCTGGTGGCTCGCTGTGTCTGGCTGAATGCTGTTGGCCCCACTCCCAGACCTTCTCTGGCCTCGCTGTCACTTTCAGGGCACTAGAGTCAGATATGGCCATGGATGGACCAACTACAGGAGCCACATTCAGTTTTCATTCAAAAGAGTAATATTTATTCCAAATTCTTGTGTGTAAACTTAGACCAAACGGAGGATGGGCACTATTTTCAGGGTATTGTCTGTGGCCCACTACTATTCACAAATAAATTCTCAACAACTAAGAGGGAGAATTATTGTATGCAAAAGGATTTATGATTTGTTTTGTTTTCCTTGCTACAATGTGTGCAAATAAGCTCTTTAAAACTACAAGTACAACATCTACAATGGCAGTTGAGGGTAAAGCCATTTTTCTGAGGAAGAAAAGGACATAAAAAGACATCACTTTAGCTATAAAAGCTTTTCTGGTCAATGAAACACTGATGCTGGCAATAAAATGCTCGTATTTATGCAAGTCTCTTAGGAAGTCTCTTTTTTCCCTTTGACATGACACACACAACTCTGATGAGCAGAAGAGATAAACTGCTTTTTGTACTCTTAACCAAACCTCCAGGGTTGTGGGAGATTTAAAGGTGTCCAGCCTGCATGTACAAAGCGAGTACCAAGGGCAACAAATCAACATGGGCTGCACCAGAGAGCAAACAGACAGATGGAGAAGACACAGGACCTCAAGAACTCTATGTCCTTGACCACTAACACTCACAGCAGTATAAGGTCTGTTGGTCCCTCAACCCAGGCATCATTTTCACACGTACATGCATGCAAACCAACAATATGCATACAAGTGCACACACGGGAACACACCATGTACACAGACCTAACACTAACACCTGCTAAGGCCTTGGCAGTGGCTTTCACTGTTGGCCCTCTATATCCTATGATGTCATATGTGTTACTTTACACTGACTGCACTTTTGCAGACAAATTCACCCACATATAACCACGCACTACTCACTCTCAGACAAGACGGATGAAAGCGCCATTGTTTATGAATTGCAAAAGCGAGCAATAGGTCTTTGTCTTCTTTTGACATTCTTGTCTCCCACACTTTCGAGTTCCAGTAGTTGAAACATGAAAAAATCCACACACTGATTCTTCCTCTCTCCCTACATTTATCTTCCCCCACACAGCAATGGGATTGGAAAGAAATTGGCAAAGATACTGCATGGCAATAGAGAGACACTGTTAATGAGATAATGACAGCATTATCACCTGACATCAGGACATTATCACTTTTAATGTCTCCCTCAAATAAACCCTGCAGAACTACAGCAATTATGTACAAATAATAGTCAATGTATCAACACAGTAAAGCCCTAAAACTGTACAATCTACTTTACTACAACACTAAAGTCATAAAACTACAAATGCCACATGGCGTGGTATGTAATGTTTTGGCCCTTCCCTTGATCAAACATTGCCCTGTGTTCACTGTGATGACCTCAGAAACCCTGTTAGTTGCTGGTTGCCAGTGCCTGTAGGTATATTTCTCTGAGTAATTTGGAGAGCCTGAAGCATGACAAAGCTGGGGTGCTCAATTTGAACTCTATATCCTCAGTGGGATTAGTCTGGATGGTTTGTGGACTTGATTGATTTGCCTACTAAAGATGTTTACTGGGACCTTGCTCTAGGAGTGCACACACGTGGCAGCAGGTATATGAGAAGCACTGGAGGAGATTTGGGTAGACTGCAGACTGTAGCAGTAACAGCACAATGTCTATGATGGTGTACATGTTATACTGAATTGCTGACTTGAAAGTATGCAGAGTCAAGGAGTGTCATATGAGCCAGATTCATCTGAATGCCCCTTAAGGCTTCCCATAACAACAACAAGAGTGAGCTCTCTAAGAAGTAACAGACAGAAGTTGTTGGTTAAATCTCTGAAAAGCAAAAAAAAACAACAACTGATGAATCCAACATTATTTTCTACAGTCTGGTTCAACAGTAAGATACATGTCAATCAGAAACACCCTGCAGCACACTGTAGTCTAGTTTAAGTTAACTATTAAAGGCTCTCAAACTTTGTTGTTTATTGTCCTTTCTCCCTGTATGGGTTGTTGGGGATCTTTCGTTAATAAATCAGTTTCTCCATTATCTGTGGTGCTAGCAGTCTGAATAATAAAATCAGAGTGAGTAGGTCTAACTGTTCATTTCGGCTCGCCTGGTAAACTGTAATTTGACACTCTCTTTGTTTTTACTTTACCCGACAGGAAAGGCAGAAGGAGAAGAACTTCAAAAGATAACCTCGATCTTGTTGCTCACTTTAACCAGCAAAAGCCCTGTTGTTGTGATAATGAAACGAGCCTTACGTAGTGTTTGTTCGGATTTCTCCGCTTCTGGACATCTTGCACTGTTACTTCTTGTACGGTGCGCCGTGGCATGATGTCCTTTTTTTTTTACGCCTCCGTTAGAAAGAAAAACAGAATTCCCCGTTGGGTTTTTTTTTTTACGAGCGATCACACACCCGTTTGAGAAAAGTTTGCACGGCGACGCTTCTTTGTCATCCGCGCCGCTCGGATCCGTGAACCCCTGAATGCAACAAATGCTATTTTCCGTCAACGTCAAATTTCCTGTCCAACATTCAGCTGCGGAAGGAGCCAGAAGTTAATAATCGGTCGGTTTTTCTTGTGCCTAGTCCCGTCCCGGCTGATGGCTCCTACCAAACTCCCAGCCTATCCCAGCTCGCCCACTCCCATTTGAGCAACTGGGACGCTTCCTTATGCTCCATGGACCAACCCCTCCAGCGTCAGAACAAACCACAGGCTGAGGGATCACTAGCCACGGGTTCAATTCCTACATTTAAAGCTGTATTAACGTTACTTAAGTGTGAATGTTTCACATGTAACAACGTTTAATTGCAATAATCCACCAAATGCACAGATTAGAAAAGGAGAGTGGACAATTACTGAACACTGAGGCAGCACTCAAACGCAGCATCAAGCCCAAGTGCACTCAAGCAGAGCATATATTTAATTTATGATGGCACTCTTCTTACTTTATACCATCATCAAGTGTACTATTGGTGTTTCTGTCTGCTCTGTACAAGACATGTATTTCGTTCTTTAAGAGTACAACAACTTTGTTTTCATTTTCATTTACTGTAACCTAAGCCCTGCCAGGTGAACTTCATCCCACCACCTTTAACGTTTCAAAGGTGTTCATTTGAATGTGAGAAACTGGATATGAATCAACTATTTGATATACATTGTTTCCCCTTACAGTTGAATTGGCATAGGTTAAGTGTATTTTGTAAAGCTGGACATTTCAACCATGTATCCATTACTTTTGGCTAACCAAACTAACCATTAAGCCATATAGTTTTAGTTATTTCAACCTTATATAACATTATACAAACTATTTCAACCATTTAGCCATATAGTTATATATTTCAACCTTATACAAACTATTTCAACCATTTATGCATCGGTTGTAACGCTCTAGCTAGCTGTTTTAACCATTTCAACAACTTATCTCTTACTTTTTTTGTTGTTCATTCCAACCAGCTATTCCTTATATAGCTGGCTGATTACTTAAAAGCATGTATTCATTAATACATTAAATTAAATTAAATTAAACGTTTCTGCTATGTTGCTAATAGCTATGCGAGTTTATGCACTCGTACCTGTGGTGTTCAGGTGCTATTGCTGACAGTTTATTGTCACTTCAATCCTAACATCTATTATTTCAAATTAGCTGAGCTCTTCACAATCCACAAACCCCCTGGCAACTGCAGAAGTACAAGTACCCTTGGTTGGTTTCACCTCTACCGCATACATATTGTATTGTTAAAGCCCTTTGAGGTACATTTGTGATTTTGTGCTATGTAGGTTAAATACAACTGACTTTACTCGACATAAAAGTATATGAATTTAGGAACGCGGGTTCAATTGACCTGGTCTATTTTATTGTCGGTTTCAAAAATGAATTATGCCAAATGGTATAATCATTTTGTAACTTGATCATGTGCACCAGTGGTTGCACTGTTGCTTATGCACATGGACAGCAATATGATCAATATGATTTATGGTGGAAAACATCAGACTTGGAACTGTTGAGCTTGAGTCACTGAGACTGCATCACATGATAACCCTACCAACACAGTCCCTGCGTGTATGTGGTAAATATTTCTTAGTCATGAGATAACTGGAAACGTGCTAATTCTGCTTCAGAAAAATGCTTCGTAAGCATAAAGTTATTATTGCTTTCTCCATATTAATATCACAATGTTATACAGTAATGGTTTTGTTTTAGATTTTAATTGTAATTATTTTATAAGTGAATTGAACACATTGCAAATTGATACTTATTACAGAGACTAATGATCAAGCTTGAGATTTTTAATTATACAGTCTATGGCTCTAACTATAAATTCTGTTGCAAGACAGCTCCATCTTTTGGTGTGTTTTACTCATTACATTAACACTGTATATGTGGCAGTTGTCCCCTATCTGAGAAGGCACATGCCTTGCTTTAGTAATTCAGTTCATTAATATAAAATGACGGCTACAATATGAAGTCAGAATTGTCATAACAAGTTATAATTTAGAGTAAGTATTGAGGAAATTAAGCAATTCATGCTTTATGAAAAGTAATGAAAATATGTGACTCTCCAATTTAAACTGGTCACACTGTACATTTTACTTCCAGCTGGGGTATGGGAAATAAAAACCACTTACATCAAAAGCAGAAATGAAAGTATGAATCTATTACATCATTCAAATATAAAAAGATGACATAAAAGGGGTCATATGAGTCCTCGTTGTGGGATGGAATATTTTTCATAAGAAAGTAGAAGAAGAAAAGAGTCATAAGCGTTAAAAATATTTAGTTTTTCCATTTAACTTTATAAAAGAACATGACATTCAATGAAAAAAAAAGATAATAATGATAGTACAAAAATATACAAAAGGGCTAAAAAATGGAAGAACTGAGACAAGGGATCATCAGTCACACAAAAGCTGGCCATCACGAGCTTGTAAGAATGATGTACTTAAATGACTGTCATTGGGGGGGAGCAGTAGTTTCCATAATGTGAGACATTAGTTTTAAAATTCTGTCATCAGAGAGTCCAAAGTTTTGTAATGCAATTGAGGGTGAATCTTTGGGACTGTTGTATCATCAACCAGACTTATATGAAAACTGGCAGAGCTAAATATCGAATAAAAAGTGTTCATTTTCAGGCCACAGGAAAGTTAGAACTAACATTGGTTGTATAATCATTTTAAGGCTATTAGATGAAAGTCAGAAGTCATACTAAAAGTGAAGGGTCAAGGTTAATTTGAGTGAGGAGAGGTCATACGGTCAAGACTCAGACGCCGTATAAGGGGTGAGAGGTTAGAGATCATATGAAAGGTGAAGGGTCAGTGCCGTCACACATTTGCAGCTCCAGGTGTGATGTGATGCCAGAGAAGCGTTCCTGCAGCGGTAACAGATAACCCAAGGCTTCTCCCTGTGATACCGGCCCAATGTAACGATAAGGACGGATGTTGAAGATCTTCACACAGTGCACTGCATGTGAAAGAAACAAAAATAGTGGTTTTGAGGACATTGATGCCCTGTTATTTCCTTCTTGGACCTGTTAGAAGAGAGTTTTTGTTTTATGTGAATAGCTTTTTCTTCAATAATTAGAGGATGTCAGTTACATTTTTTCAATAGAAAGAGATGGTGCTAATGCCAGCAGTGACTCAACTCAGCTTATTGAGTGAGTATTTTGGGAAGTTGGGCTAATTTATACCTGTAAAGTCAAGTTGTTCTCTTTGCACTTTATGTTCTTCAGGTACATTTGTGAGAAATTAATCATATTTTACGACATTACATTTCAGTATAAAGCTGTTTCTACTCCATCGGTGAATGAATGTGTAAATAGGAACAAATGGCTGATCAGTGATTAAAAAAATACAAGCAAAATCCATAAATCTGAATGCACAATGCACACATGTATAGCAGGCAACAAATAGAAAATGTGGAGATAACAGTCTTATAATTGATCGTTTATCATTCCAAATGGATCAACATAGGTTCAAGGCCCTAGATAACAACTGTCTTACCATCTCCCCTTCACCTTTCTGTAGACAATAAACAAGCTGCCAACTTAGAAACAAACAACCCAGAAGTAGGCTAGTCTACAAGTCAACACCATCATTAAATCCTACAAGCTCCTAATGATGAGTGTCTCAGCATTAATGTGGGTATCATGGCGAGGTAATGTGTCTCTGTGATGTCTAATCATGTCTGTGCTTTACCCTGAGATGAAAGGAGCTGACAGGACATGTGTTCTTCTGATAATACAGTTCAATTAGGAGTAGAGGCAGAATGAGGACTAATGATGTTTACTCATCACTCCAGTGCCTTATCAACTCAGGATGCTCTCAAAATACACTCACAAGCATGTATACAGACACAAATATAATGCACATTGCAAAGGCATGCGTGCACTCTTCTGCCAAGCTCCACCCAGATAAACACACAAACGCTGATGCATTGCTTTGTTCTGTAATGATGGCCCTTACTGGGGGTCATTACTCATGAACAGCCTTTGATGGGGTTTCACATGCAGCTGGGTCCTGGTGTTAAAGGCAACCAAGAGTTCAATGGAGTCTCAGCCCCTCTATCCTACACCTTGACTAATCCCTCTAAATCACTCCTTCTTTTCATTCCCACCTAACGCCCACACCGTAATAACCTAACATCGCCTGTGGCCTAGCCATGGACCCATACGAGATTAGGAATTTATTTGCAGATATAATAGCACAAGGTTACAAGGCGATTGAATAGTTCAAATATCAGTATGACTTTTAGATGTAATTTCCGGAAAAAGGAGGTGATTTTTAGCCACGCTATTATGGTTGGTCCACCACCTTGTCTTGACTGAAATATACCACTGGATAGGTTGCCATGAAATTTGAAACAGATATGCACGGTGCCCAGAGGATGAATCCTAATGACATTGGTTATTCCCTGACTTTGGTTTAGCAACACCAGCAGATCAAACATTTCACCTTTAAGCTTATCTAGTGAAATATCTCTGCATATACCACATGAATTGACATAAATTTTGGTACAAACATTCATGGTTCCCTGTTTAATACATTTTACTGCCTGTAGCGATCCTGATATTTTTGTCTCTAGCAGCACCAGCAGATTAAAATTTGTGGTTCAGTGAAGTGTCTTGACAACTGTTGGATGGATTACCATCCAATGTGTTGCAGACATTTATAGTCTAGTATGGCTGTAGTCTTGATATTATATACAGTCACCATAAAATGAAAATTAACTGTTTACTATCCTTTTATTTAGTAGATAGAAGCACACAAAAGTATTGACTTTAACATTGGTTTCAGTGTCACTGTTGACACTGTAGCATTTTCACAAGCTATAATTTCAAATACAGATGAATAATCTTCAGAAGTTTCTTTCCCTCGCTGCACTCACTTTCAAGTACTGTATCGACATATTTTGCTCCTTACCATCACTGAGAAGTTTTACCCCATCATACTGATTCCCAGCGGGGTCTTTCCGACTCACTGGACCCGCCAGAGAGCCTGAGAATGGAGTGTTGACAATACCATAGTCATCACACACCAGGTCCACTGCTTTATGTGGGTCATTACCTCTGTAAGAGAAGAACCAGAAAAGATGTGAATTACGCAGCAATCTTAAAAGGCCTGCAGTTAGTCATTATTTCAAAAATGTCTAGCTATGGATACATACTCGTCTGCCCAGAGCTCCACCCATAGCAATCATGTCATGTTACTGCACAAGTAATCTTAAGGTTTAAGACTAAAACTCGGATCAGGACAAAATCACCTTCTGGAGTTGAAAGCTCCACAGCCATGCACGTCACACGCCCTCACTCTGTTGTTGTGGTGACCGGCACAAAGGATACTCCAGGCTCCAACTACAGAGATAAAAAGAGGGAGATGAAAAAAAATAAATAAAAAGTGTTTGTTTAAAAAAAAACATATTTAAAGCCTGCTGCGTTGCATTCCAAAAGGCCAAGCATATAAATCTATTAAAAAAAATGTTTTATAACATCCACAGAGTGTGAGTCACCTCATGTTCCATTTATGTGAAAATAAGGCCAATTACAGCTGATAGACACTATTCAAATGTCATATATTGATGTTTTTTTATATTAGCGGTGTGTCAGACATTGATACAGTCTCATGCCCACGATAACATATTTTCATGACTCAGACAGAAAAGAGCAGTACACAACCCTTTTAGTCCCTGCTTGTCAAAAGCAGTGTGTTTGTGTGACTGTCTGAAGTAGTGCTGGAGTATTTTCGCCTCGAGCCAGCCTGTGTAATATTTGCACGTGTCACTATACCTGGCATACAACACTGCCGTGTCTTGGGCCCCGAACACTTGTCTTTTAAGTATCGGCCTTGGCAGATGTATCGGTTGGACTGGCAGATGCCTCCCAGTCTGGTGCAGCTGATGTCACTTCTTGTGCTCACGGCAAGTTTCTTGCTTCCCGTCTTCTTGACCATCTTCCTTGGAGTGCCAGCCTTGGCTCTCTTGTCATTTGCTGTTGTGTAATTTCTCTTCACTTTGATGTTTCTGTCAGTATCCTTGTCAGGGCTTTGAAATTCTTCACCTTTCCTCTTTTCATGTTCTAAAGCACAACTTAACAGGATATCTTGAGGAGAGATGAAAGGTACTCAGAGTTAAGAAGAGATGATTAAAAGTGATGCAAAATGTGGCATGAAAGAACTTTCTTGGATTAGGGATTAAATCAAACTTTTGGGAGACAGATATTTGCCATTGCCTTCGAATTTGGATTTCGTTTCTTCAAATTTAAGGGATACTGAGATGATTTTACTCTGGGTACGAATTACCAATCTACACACTCAGTAGCTTAGTATGTGGTGCTGTTGAACTGTGTTGCATCATATGGAGAAGTGTTTTTGTTATGTAGCCCAGTCTCACTGATATAAATGAGGTGGCCAAAATAATCTGAACAGCTGTCAGTAGGCTATAACGCAATATGATTCAACAGCAACACAAATAGCAGCCTCATCTCTCAAAAGACTTTCAACAAAAACTGAACAATAAGCTTCATGAAGGAAGGTTTTATTGCTGGCCTGGTGTATTAGACTGCATTTGTTTTAGGTAAGTGTACCCAATAAACTGACTACTGAGGATATGTATCTATTATACTATATCAAGTAAATGTAGATTGTGAGAATGTTGAGGTGGGTTAGTGTTAAATGGATTCACTTTAGGGCTCAAAAACCAATCACAAGAAATCCACATGATCAAAAAGAAAGAGAACTAAATTACTATTCCCCAAAACTTCCTGATCCTGAAGCAATTTTGATACATTTATAAGTTAACTGCTAATTGCTATGGAATTCCATAAAAAATAATATAATAAAGAAAGCTAAAAAGCACACCTTCTGGACATTAACAACTGATAGATGTTAATAGAAAAACTTTAATGAGTTCACAGAACTTGCTTTCGATTACTTTGAAATACCTTTGTTAGGCATGGTTATTCATAACATTTGAACAAAATCTCTAGGTACGTCTTAGCTCACCGCCTGGGCACACTTGTTGAAAACTGTGTTACTTGTCCATATAGACAGACAGAGTCATAGTTCAGTTATTCATAGTGAGTTTTGATTCTGACAGAATACTAATTATCCTGCCCAGACATGAGACTTTGATCTTCATTAACTCTATTAACCTCAAAGGCACAGAAAATATTTCAATCACGCTGCCCTGGCACAGGAACACACGCTGGGCTCAGTGATTGAAAGAAGCTGCTTATCACTAGAAGGCCTTAATGGCTGGGAGACAGTCAGGCAGGATAGCTGGCTGTGGCATGGAAAAGCAATTTCCCTCAGCGAGTGAACTAAAAAAAAAAAAAAAAAAGTTGTAAAAATGTACAAAAATGTAAGTGTGCCCGTTGCTAGAGTAATACTAGCATGGAGTATGGTTTTACTAGTGTTTTGCTAAATGGTTGTCAGTGTATTGCTTGGTGGTGGTGCTACACTATGGGGCTGCGAGGGTGTTATGGTGCTTTTTACTTTATCACTGTTTGTGTAGGTTGTTAGAGTATCTTTATGTTGTTGCAATGTGATTGATGATTCTTTTGCAGGGTGTGGCTAAATGGTTGCTAGGGTATACAACATTTTCACATAATCTTAAAGTTAGTGTGCTATCCGGCCAGGCAACATGCATCACTATTATGTCTCATACCTAATTTTAAGGACAAAAAATGTACTTTTTAAAGTTTTATAATTACTTTGAGCATTGTCTTCAAAGTATCTGTCAGAGCTTGGATTTCTATGTTTCTTTAGAAAACTTTGAATAATTAAAAAAAAAAAAAAGTGAGTTTGAGCATTGTTTGAGTTTATACACAGAAGACACAAAAGAAGAATTTGGGGATGTATTGTTTCATACTTTTACTCTGTGGTGGGATACAGTACACATGGATGAAGTAAATCTCTTAAGTAATAAAAAAGAATGATATTCAGTCTCCAGTTAACCAGAATAGATTAATGCAGACAAATATTAGCTGTGTGATTGACTGGTTTGTGTTCACTTGACATACAGATTTCTGGGAGTGAGAGTTGTGTCCACAGTGGGGCATGAATCATTTTCTCTCTGTGACAAGATGGCTGTCTCATTTTCATGTAGCTCAACAGTCCTTCAGAGTGTGCCTTAAGCTTTGCAGTTATATGCAATTATGTAATGTTGCATTAAACATTCAATCATGCTTTAAATGTCTCATCCACTTGTACCAACACTCCAGCAATAGGCCCGAACCCCCAAGGTTTATGTTTACAGGAGTTTACAGTCTGCTAATAGAGCTCAGTTCATGGCAATCTCCAGGGGCAGGCAGATATTTATACACCATTTATTGTTTCTATAATAGGAATCTTATTAGTGTACACTGGAATGGTAAATTGCTGTGTGTGTATGTGAGTGTGCCTACACATGCATGATTATAGCATGTGGTTGTGTGGTGTGCATGTATCACTGTGTTTATGTTTGTTGGTGGGCAACTTGGTACAGTTATTGTGGATAAATACTCCAGGCATACCCTATATATGCATATATGTGTATATGTTAAAATTAAATTGTAGTGTACATTTTGCATGCAGTAGGCTACTTACAGCATATTAGTAGAGCTGCAATGAGACAGACCCTCAACAGCATTTTCATCAACAGCGGAACTCAGAAATCTGCAGGATAATGATAGAAAACAGAAAATGTATTCCATCTAGTTAGGTGAGTGCCCCATAGGTGTAATTCTCATATAAAGCATATATTTATACATACACGCTACATTTCACGCTAAGAATCAAATCTGAGGCATATTCTTCCACATTGACTCAACATGTCTCAAATCTCAAATGCAAAACAAAAGCAGATCAAATTCCAGTTTCTGGAAGTTTCTGCTCAGAATTTATAGTGAGATAAAATGGAACTATACATACAAGTCTTATGGAGACGCTGTAGTGTGGCGGCAGGCGCAGTGGGTAGGAACACAAAGCAGGGACTGTCGGAAAACCAGCCTGCTGTGGAAGCTGCAGGTCCGGGCCACAGGACGTCCCCCCACTGTCAATATTGATATTGGCCTTTGGAAAACACACCCATTTACTTGCTGGAAAAGACTCACTTTATTGACTTTTTTGTTGCTATACTGAAAGTTACACAGAGCTAGTTATTGGCCATTGAGAAAAAGCAGCTGGAAGCAAGGCTTGAACAAATAACCTTACAGTCCCATCTATTACCAACTGAGCTACATTTGACAAATTTCATTTTACTTGTGTAAAGGTTTTGGAAATCACAAAATGAATGAACATGCGCTATCAGTGCCACATGCTTTGCTTCAGTAAAGTCTCAGTCATACATTTTTTATTAAGAAAAATACATCCTACAGTAAATGGTCATACAGAAACTATATTGACTCTTGTTCTTTCAGCATATTGCACTATTATTAATACACGTTTAATTCATTGGAAAGCAGAACAATCACCAGGTATTGTAATAATTTCAATATAAAATTGTTGGGGAATATAAAGTTCACCTTACTGAGAGGGACATTTTATTAAAATGTCTCATATTATTATATTGCATAACCTTGTCTCCTCGTGTCTATATTCTTATTTGTTTTTTCCCAATTACATCGTGGTTAAAACTGTTATTTTTTCCTGGCTTATGTCCTCAGGCATGTCAGGCAGTTAGTACAATGTCAACTGCAAAAGCTGCAACACAGAATTATAATATCATCATTCTTTGTGCCAGTTCAGAAAGTCCAAAAAGACAGTATTAGTTTGAAATGTTGGGTGCAAATATGGTACAGTAAACATGCAATAAAGAGTGGAATACGTTCCAATTACACCCCTTATACAAACCCATACAGTGCAGTCAGGCATGGGACTGTTGGCATCTCGCTGTCAAATCCTGGCTTCTCCCCTTTCACGAGTCAAAATAAATCATTATTCTCCATGCATGAACCTGGCATGTATTATGAGATAATTAACTTTAAGGCCTCACACAATGCAATGGAAGCCAATTAATGGTATAAATTTGATCCCCTTCCAGTAGGAGAGTGAAACATATAGGTATATGAATGCAGTAAAGCATGTGGATATAGGGTATTTAAGAGTGTGCTCTGTACAGTATGTACGTATGTGGTGAAAGCCAAAGACGGCTAATCAGATTTCTTCAAGGTTCCGTGGATGGTAATCCAGTTCAAAGCTTGAGGGAAACTGTGTGAAGGCCATCCTTCTGACTTGGTGTGGTAAAACAGTGTGGTAGCTTAGAATATATTTCAGAGATGCTACATGTTAAAATAGCTGACAAAAACAAGGATGATTCATGTATTATAGAAGTTAGTCAGTATGTTAACATATGTGAACCTCAAACATCCCTTTGTTCTCTTTAAGATAAATATCAAGAATAAAAGTGGTGTCCCTTTACCACGGCTACATGGAAATGAAGTCTGGAAATGAAGGATTATTTGATTTTTGTGTCCTTATTCAAAGGTCTCTTCATCGGTATGTCCAAGTGTATCTCACTCTACTGATGCATTGTGGTGCAGATGAGGTCACTGTAGAATATGAATGCTTTTATTCTAATTCAGAGCCAGTTACTCCCTCTGAATTACAATTTACTGAGTGTAGGGGAATGGACTCAATAGTGGCCGGTGGAGAGTTGAGCTTTTTTTCAGCCAGACAGCTTTGATAATCAAATATCTGGGCAGAGGATTAGACTGATGGACCATATGGCTTGGAATTTGAAAAGGAGAGAGGGAATTAGGGAGGGAGGGAGACCAATAAAAGACAGAGAATAAGGGGAGAATAATGAGAGATCAACTGAGAGTGAGTGAGTGAGTGAGTGAGTGAGTGAGGCAAGGAAGGGGAGGGGGCGAACATGAGGCAGTGAGAGAATAGACAGAATATCTTGAAAGACAGAAAGAGAGGGTGAAAAAAACAAAAGACGAAGAAAAAAAGTCAGCCAACCAGACAAACAGAAGACGAGAAAGAAGCAGGAGAAGCTCCAGCCAGCATCCCAAACACTCTCTGCTCCGGCAGAAGAAAGGCTCGTGTTGACTCTTTGAGAACCCTTTGATAAACATGGCTACTTAAATAGAAACACGCGGCACATTCTTCAAACTCCTGGGAGGATTGGACTGACATTTCACTCCGGCTTCTCTGTCAGTTAGTTCTGGCATTTCAACGAGTGGCAGTAGAGATGCCACAAGTGTTTCCTAGCAACAGTTTGCTGCAAAAGCCTCCCCCTCCCAGCTGCTCTCCTCCACACACCCCTTTAAACTCCCTCCTTCCCTGAGATACGAGTTGCAGCAATGCACCACTTGCCTTAGACCTGAAATACATTCTAATTCTCCTGACTCTCTCTTTCCCTCTCCCTCCTGTTCCCTTCAGCAAATTGCCAGGCCTGCATCAAATGACATTCAGGCCCCTGTCATCTGTAAAGAAAAAGCACCCAGCGAGGCTTTTCCCTGTGAAGGTTGAAGGCGCTTCAACTGAGAACTGTTGGCAGACAAAATATCGAAAGAACGCAGCGATATTTCACCCTTTTAAAAGGCTGAGTGGTTACTGGGCTTGAGCCTGACTTTTACTCTTTCATTTCATTTTTACTGCGCCTCCTTCTGCTGCTCAGGTGAAAGGAACATCTCACAAAAACAGGCTTGTGAAAAGGCTCTGTGGTGTGTTGATGGATCGGAACTGCTCGGTGGCTCTAAATCAGCTTTCTCAACACAGCGGCCCAGTCACACCCACTTGGCTCTGTTGATTTGTAAACATATTCGTGGGGTTTGGGGAGCAGGTGTTTAGCCAGCCTGAGCGGGCAAACAGAGCGCCGTAGGGCAGGGTATGAAGTCTGCGATGCTGGTGGCAGCAGACAGGGGGCACCAGAGTCTGAATAATACGTTTCACTAAAAGCATTTCCATGTCCGCCAAGGGAGGGCTTTCAAAGGGCGTTAGTGGATGGACTGAAGTCTGGTCACACGTCTCTGTCTCTCTCTGGGTCTGCAGGGAACAAAACAACAACATTTAGACAGAGCATATACTTTAAAATATACAAATGTCAATCCATGTCCTTCACCCCTCTTGTGAATTCCCATGAAGCTACAGTACAAGTTAAAAGCCGATCTGAGGAACAAGCAGGGAGACAACAAGGCAGAAGACTGAATGTGACTGGAATCTTAAGGCCCATCAGCCTCAAAGGGCATGGGCCAGCATCAAATGAGACTGCTTGTAATGTTATTCCAGAGAAGTAAATAATCTCATATTCTACAATGGTTGTGTGCATTTGACACAGCTTGAGGTCTACTACACTTAACACGGTTCCCACAAGTACAAAAATGCTATACTGAGTACAGAGGGAGAAGTCATATTACTCAGCAATGTCTATTTTTCTTCAGGGCTTTATCCTATAATAGTGATGTTTTCTGTAATACAAGTTGGCATTTAAAACAGCAAAAAAGTAACCTCTGTGTATCTTATCTTTTTTGTTTGTTAAGAAATACCTGTATAACCTGTCAAATTTCCCACTTTGCTTCACAACCTTCATCCTGAAAGAATTAATAGAGCCCATGACACAACAAACAGAGGGGTGAAGGAGAGAAAATGTAAAGTAAAAACTAGTTCACTGGAGAGAGAGAGATAGAGTAGAAGCGCTTAAACTTTAAGGGCTGAAGCCTTTGAACTGTGTAGGAGTGGACATTAAGACAGCCGTGAATGCGATAGGCCAAGGCGATGAATGCCACTCATGTCACGGCCAATCATGTACGGATCAAAGCGCAGTTTCGTGATTGATGGATCAATGCGGGGGAGAGTGAGAATATCAAACACAGCAGTGAGGGTAGCTAAGCTTAGCTTTGATGAGGCAGAAGGCAGAGGTATGCAGCGAGAGATGAGGTGGAGCAGGGGAATAAATGAATTAAGGGAGAGTGAAGTTACTGCTGGAAAACATGGCAGTCAGCCGTGTCACCCTTACAAGTATCTGATCCCAGCTGGGGGTGCAAAGACTGCAACTGCTCGCTTATAGAAAAAAGAGTTTGATTCAGGAACATGTACCAGAAAACCCTCATACATTTTCAGCCACAAGAGCACGGACTAATGTTAGAACTTGGTAATGTTCCGGATTTATCTGCAGAACAGAAATGAGATCCAAGATATTCCGATCATCATGGAGTTTATCCCAGGTGTTAAATGTGGTGGGCACAGATGCAGCAGCCACTGAATCAATGAGCCCGCACTGTGAGGTTGCATTGATGAGTGTACAACACAGATGCCCTCCATTTTCACATCAAAGATTGTTACTGCAAGCTCATATAGGGAGAAATAAGTGAGGACAATACATAGGAAGTAAGTTCAAAAAGTCTCTCAGTCTTATCTGGCTCTTGCTCTCATCTAAGCAACATCTCATTTAAAGTCTGTTCATTAAGAAGTACCTAATTACACCCACATTATCTATAATTACAGTGTTTTTACATCATGCTTCCAAGATAAAACTCCTTCAATGCAGTTTCAATGTATAATTAGCCTTCGTAAGCACCTACTACACACATAATTAGAGAGAAATTGATACTAATACACCTGTCTACCAGGCAGAGAAAAAAGTAGTATCTACAAAGACACAAAATAAACCTTATCAAGGGTGGATTATTATTTAACTGAACAGTACAAGTTGATACCCTGCTGTGATAACAGTCTGCTTAACAGAGAGGTGTGAGAAAAAGAGAGCGTTCATGTCATGTATCAGTGAAATAAAAATAGCCCAAGAAAGAAGTAGATATGTATTATTTATGGATAAGCACGGCAGGAAACTGCTTGGGGCCCCAAAAGAATTGAGGGGGCTTCCAAAGAATGACTGATTTGACTCCACATTATTGATAGCAACAGCAATATAGCCATCCTAAAGCCACTGTTGCAATGACATCTGCATGTAAAGCTCCCTAAAAGGGGCCTGTTTCATTCTGCTCCTCAACCAGGTGCCCGCTATGATGTTTGTTTTGAAGCAGAAACAAAATGCAGAGCTGTCCTTCCAGCAGCCACACACACACAAAAAGAGAGAAGAGAAAGAGAGGCGGAGGAAAAAGAAACAGAATAATGCTAAGGGTGGAGCAGTGTCCGAGGTGTAACCCAAATGACAGCTTGCTCTAGCAACCAAATGCTAATAATAACAACAGCTAATAGTTTGCTAGATAGCTACAATGTATTTTAGTGACTGTGTACATGGCGATGAAGAAACAGTACAATGTGGCTCAACAATGGAGGTTTATGGCATATATATACATATTTATAAGCTATGTCTGTTTTTTCCTTTTTTTATTTATATGCTTATTTGAAATTAAGGAATAGTTTATGGGTTGATTTCCAGAATTTATAGCTAATATGGAAGTTTCTAGATAAAAATAAATCATTACACCATTATTCATTTAATTCAAACAGAGCTATGTAAATAAAACCCAAAGCTGTGCTCATTTTATGTCATTTATACAACTCTGGGCTTTACCCTTTTACCTTCCTTTTTTTGTTTAAAGTTCAAAAAGGCTCCATCAGATATTCCTAAAGAGACAGAGGGAGAGTTTTGACTTTGGCAGTAATCATCAGTCATCTCAGGAATACTTGTGAAAATGTCAACTGTTTCCTCTGTCACATCCTTCTGTCACTGTAGGGATATTGAGGTTTTTGTTTTGCCAGAAGATGGCAGTAATAATCCACCAGAGGAGGCCTCTGAGGCAGGCAGGAGGCACGTTGCAACAGCAAGAATCTCATAGGTTAATTACATAGCACTCTCATGCCAGGGAATGTGATCATTCAAACAGTATCTAACTGGAGCACAGAGAGAGAGATCGGGGAGAGAGATAAAAAGAAAATGTGTGTGAGAGAGAAGGCAGGTAGATAAAAAAAAAGGAAGAAAAATCTTTTTTTTTTGCTTGCTAATAATTATGCCACCATATTTGCTTGCTAATAATCAGTTCACTTTACCTCAGTATGTCATTACAGTGTGCAGTGCCAGGTTTTCCATCACTGTCCCCATAATGGCAGTTTAAACAGAGCCCAGTGACCTGTCTTGAGAGGCGGGATAGAACTAAGACCGAATCTTCAATGTCTGTTTTTTCCTCACAAACATACATACAAGCATTTAATCAGAGATGTCACACTGAAGGGTTGTTCATGGTACAGCACTATAGAGGCTGAGGCCTTGCTCATGGGGACAGCAGCAGTGACTTAAAGCAGATGTATATGTGGAATAACCTGAATGCAACAACAAGACACCTTATGGTTAATGAATGGTCAGCCCTTGTAACCGCCACTGTTTTGTTCAACATTAATAAATAAATAAATAAATACTGAAATGGGTGCAGATTACAAGAATTGCAGGCTAATGCTGGCTTGAAGACTATGTGCACCTCACATGTCCATACAGTAGATTAAATGACTTCTAGGTCACTGTAATTGTTTCTCCTGTCTACATTGGTCTTAAAGAGATCCCTTCCTAAAGCAATTTCAATGTAAGTGATGGGGGACACAATCAACAGTCCTCATTTTGTGCAAAAAAGGATTTGGCTTCTAGCATGTAACTGCAGATTGTAACTCCCTCCCTTCACTCTTCCCTTCCAAACGTGTCGTAGAAACTATGGCTGCAGAACTTGTGAAAAACACTAAAGGCCCTATCTAGGGCCAGTGTTTCGTTTATCCTTTCTAGGATGGCGAGGAAGGTTTTAGTTGGTGGTTGGGAATCCCCACTCCACAGTTCATCAGGTGCTGAAAGCAGCTGGCTACAGCTGCAATTTACTGTATGGAGAAGGCAGTGATGATTAGTGATTATCACCTATGCGGGTCAGTGAGAGAAGTGGTACTTTTAAGGTTGCTTGATTAGATGAAATAGACTAAAGGAGTTGACTCTTAACTGCAAGAGTGAATATGACCATGACTGCCAACAATTTCATTTGTCACTTAAATAATGGGAGGTGGCAGCCACTGCATAGCTCGTCACATACAGTGTAGCTGAAAGGAGTTAATAAAAACTATATAAAAAATATAAAACAACTTACTACTAGTGAAAACTCTTTTTCAGCCTTAGCTAACGTTTAGGTTTAACGCCAAGACATGAATTGAGGTTAACTACACCAGTTTCTTATGGGTATTGTTTTAGCTTTAGTTATCTCTCTGCCCCCAC